GTGTCACCACTACCGGCTGCACGAAACAAATACTTAATATTAACGCACAATATTATGCGCATTTAGTCTAGCGCGCGATGAATCGACGGAGAAACGTAATGTACTTTTGATGCGTTCGCGTTTCAGTGCTCGCGTCATTAGGACTGCTCCGTTGTACATGAATAGTAATAAAATAAGGTCGTCAAACGTACCCAGCGATTCTTAACCTGTGCGTCCCTGCGAGTCCACCACACTCATGTCAGGTGGGTCCGCGACGCTATTGCCTTACCGGTCGTACACACGAACAATGTGCAAGGGTGTTATTAAAAATGTAGTATGGAAAAATAAGTTGTCGAGATTACATTTTTTTGGTTCACGAACTCGGCGCTACGTTTTGAAAATAAATAAACGTAAATTGTGCGTGTCGCCGGAGGAATTATTTCGGCAACAATTTTATTAGGATGTCGGCCAATGAAGAAAATGAACTGAGGTAGGGTTTAGATTTACCGATCTACTAACGACCGGATGGATATCGGTGTCTTTGGTCGAAGTAGGAACGGCTAACCAAGAAACGCATTGATTTGTGTTGGTTTTTTCAATATTATATCATTTTTTTTAATTTTGAATAGTTACCATAATTTACTGTTTAATCTAATTCCTATCCGAAACCGGTCAATTCGTAGTCTTTGAGGGTAAAGTTTGGATTAGTAAAATAATCCTAGGTATCTGTTCTTGAAAATCGTAGAAAAGCCAGTAAATTTGTGGTATTTTGATTTCTTATGTTTGAGTGAAGGGTATACCATCGCCAATATTCAGTAAACAATTGAAGATGTATTCCAAACAGATATGTCGCTAACAACGAAATTCTTCTGTAACCGATATTACCTAACCCGCACTTGCATTAATGATTAAAAGGAAAACGTAAAAATACATACATATTTTTTCTCTCTCATAAATCAATTCACAATCTCTGTAATCCGTAATGCGATCTATAGTTACTTCATATTAATTATAGTTTTATATTCGTCCGAAAAATGATCAAAACGGAAAACTCGAACCCTTTGGAAAATTTTCTAGTCTTGCCAGCCCAATTACCGGTGTACGCAGCTGCGTGCACTAGTGCACTAGTGCACTCCTTGCATTCGCATGAATCTGACGTTGCATTCGAAGTACTCGTAAGCAGTACCCGTACAAGTATGATTAATTGCGGATAATCGCAAACGCCGTCGGAATCTTCATACGTGTGTAAACGCATATATTATATTATTTTGAGCCCGAAGGCTCGAAACAGTATAACAATATAGTCTGTGATATTTTACACACGCACGCACATACGAGCAAAGTGAATTGTAATGTAATATTATGCATATATTACTGTACCTTCTTAACGATTGGGAATTCGATTTCTCAAAGTGCGACTTCTGCGGACCGCGTTGAATAACTTAATTGTTATACGCCATCGTTTATTTCGGACAGATGTTACATAATATTATACCTATAATGTTTTAACTATTCGAAAAATGATTCGTTTAGTCCGTTTAAATTTTCATTTACTTGTTGTCTTTTGTTGTATGTAGCACAGGAGGAGGGTCACCCAAATGTGTTTTTTTTTTTTTTAATTCATTTGAATTACATAATTTTCTTCGATTTATACTAGTAACTTGAACATTTATTTATCATTTCAATCGAAATATAGATCATAGACAATGTGATGTTATTATTTTATAATCACAACACTAACACCAAGAGTTCGCTACCACTACTGCTGGCGGTAAGTTTCTACTTCACTTGTTTGTACTTTTTAACAACACTTGGAGCCACGACACGTAACCCCAACGCCCGCGTTCATAGTGCTCGTGCAATACACACGACACGGGATTTCATTAACGGAACATTCGTAGAACTTTCAGAACGTTTTCCGAAGGGCAATACTTCTTACGATTGATCTGAAGCAAATAGCCCTTTTGGACGCCATTGCGTAGGGTAGTAGCTGAAGCTTACGATTTGAAATCGCCAATCTCAGAATCGTGTCTAACCCTAGGTGTTCAAAGTTTCAAGAATTCAAATGTTCTTCTGGTCCCGTCACGATTATTCCATCCAACGTATAATAAATCGCCTTGAGCGTACAAGCGTTTTCTGTATCGTTATACGAGTACACGAAAATATAAATATATAGGTATAGGGTCCAATACGCGACACAGCCCGAGGTTTAAGTACTTCGGGAGGTAGTTTAAAGGAATCCAGACGAACGGTATGAGTACTAGTAGTAGTACGATAAACCCGTAGACAAAACGAAATGTGTGCCCGGGTAATATAATATGAATGTGTTCATTTATACGTGTGTGCATGACAGATAAGTACTTTGGTCGGTATATCATCATGATTTATTTATTTGTATTTTGAATAATTTTGTTTTTTTGTATTCATCACCTAGTTACCTTTTTTTTCTTATTATACTTATATTCCTGTCATGTTTTTTTGTTTTGAATTTTATTTTTGTCTCTCCGATCGAGTTTTTATGCCCGACGGTTTTTCTCGATAAGCAAATAGAATATGCATACGCGCTGACCAATAAATATTAGTTTAATCGAACCTGGTGTCTTTCTCGTTGCAAATTGTTTCTACGTGTGTGAGTTATTCCTGCAATCAATGATATTAAGTCCGCGGTTCTCCAGTTACCGCCGCGGCTGGCGATCCTGCTAAACCCAGGTGAACTATTTCGGAGGTATTGCGAAACCGAATAGTTGCAGATGGTCCAGTAGTGCACCGCAACGTTCGACAGATTGTTCGGTACGGGCATTTATATAAGTTCGTACTTGAATTAAAAACGGTAGTAGACAGATTTCGGGCCGGAGCGTCATAAGCGTTGTGTCGAGTTCGTTACCTAGTCCACACCATAAACATGTCGTTAAACGTGAAACGTGGATAATTTTGTTAAGATTAGGTAACCGAATTATTTCCACCGAAAATTTCAGCGAAATTCGTACACCAGACCGCGTCGATGTACTCGTACGGAATAACAGTCGCGTGGAATACTATTCTTTATCTCGACCGGTATGACAACGTAAGTGGTGCCCGAGAAGAATTGATCGTTCTCGAAACGCGGAATCTTCAGTGAATTCAAACGAAAATAAATAAAACGGAACGGGACGAAACAGCTGTTTGAAAATCGAAAGTTGGCTCTCGTTCGGATGTACGACATCGCGGATCTAGCAGGGAGCCGTTCAAGTTTACTGAACTCGATGTGAACACGACCGAAGCTCGTCAAGGAACCATAAAATCAAACGTCTTTTAATACGTTACATACGAACATCGTGAACACATTATAATCGTTTTCATAACCGTATCCATACAACCGAACGTTTATTGATTGTTCGCAAGACTAAACTCGTATTTCAACGTGCCCATGTGGTAAACAGGATTGTCTCGGTCATAACGATCCTACACATCAGGGTTGAGAGACTGGCGGCCAAATCATGCCCGCGAGCCTTCTTTATCTGGCCCGCGCTATTCATTCAAATTTCATCATACAATTTTAAAGTTTATCGTCCACACTCTATATCATATCGATATAATAATTGTTATCCGGTGTTGAAAATCGTTATACGTCTAAACGTCATACGCACGTGTACGTGTAGCTTTCGACCATTGCCGTTTGTACCGAAGTACATGTATCAGTTCCTTCGTACCGTTCGTGTCGTACAGTGCCGTGTGTGTTGAGCTTATTATTGCTGTGCACATGAATGCTGATCAAAATGCTTATTTCGAAATGACCTTATTTATTTTCCTGCGGTCCGGCCCGCTGGATCTTGATTTCCTAAAAAAATCGGCCCTCCAATAACTTCGAGTTTCCCGTCCCTGCTGTATATATATATATATATATATATATATATGTCCTATGTAGACGTATTTATCGACGGAAAAATGTAATTTCTGTCGCACAGTAGTCAGACGCGCGCGCACATATGTGAATAAACACGCGACAACAAAGTTTTCGAACTACCGTGTTGCCACTGTTTGTTTACCGTAGTAGTAGTACTTTCTTCGTAACGCCACCTGGTTCAACACGCGCGCACGCGCACGCATGCTTTACGCGTACCGCTGCGGGTATACGCGTGTACCGTAAGGGAGCGCAGGTGACTTGGAACCTCTCCGGCGACAGGTGTCACTTAGAGACTCCGTGCACGCGCGCGCAACGTGTATACGCCACCGTGTGGCTTCCAAAAGACGTTATAAACGTGTGCACTCGGTCGTGACGAACAACGACTTTGGTCGTTACGTAATTTTGGCTGGACGGTAAAAGGAGAAAAAAAAAAAAAGGGCAAGGAAACAACGACGCGCACCCGTTGAGCTCCTTCTGTCCACGACGTGCACATCGGACGAAATCCCTTGCACGTACGCTTATCTGCGAGAAATAACAAGCTCGTCGTCGTGGTCAAAAATCTACTCTTTTATTTTTGTTCCTTGCAGTTGAATACGCGTTAATAAGAATTTTGTATTTTTATCTATATCGTATGTCCGTTAAGACACACACACACCAAAAATCATTACGGATGTATAAAAAAAAAAAAAAAGTCGTTTGAAATATTGTGTTTTATATAAGTATATATTGAGTAATTTTTTTTTTTTTTATTTTAGGACTGTGCGTGATTTTCGACAACATGCGTGGAAAAAAGTGATGTGGAAATTTACATTTCCTTAAGTGTTTATACAGACGAAAACAATAAAACAAAAAAAAAATAATAATAATAATAAATTTGCACAAAATAAAAACGTAAAAGCGAATTATATAATAATATATATTATAGTGTTACCCTATTACAAACGTTTTAGAATAGCTAAACTATAATTAAAATAAAATATAAATTATAAATTTTGGTGAAAGGAACTATATAAGGGCGTTATACATAAAACTATATAATCAACGAAATTATTATAATATTATACGTAGGAATATATATATATATATATAAGACAATAATTTCTATACAAAAATATTTTGTTTACACGTATTTACCTATTACTATTATTATTAGAAATATTATATATTTTATCCCGTCCTCAAAAACGTTTTATTCATACAATTATTGTAATAATCGTAAAGCTAACGTAGCCTATTGCTTTGCGAAAAACATAATATGTATGTAAATAAATATATAGGTATTATTAACAATAAATATGGTAACATTTTAGAAATTGTATTTCCGGTTGTGCAATTGTCCGAAGGCGTGTGCAAACGTTACTTCTATGTTATTTCAACGGGACATTAATGCGCATTCGAGGCAACGCCGTTCGATGGTCGTTATATTCGTTTCTCTCTCTCTCTCTCTCTCTCTCTCTCTCTCTCTCGGAATACGAACGAAACAAATCATACGTGTACATGAGTGAACTAGCAACACGTTGTGTGTGCACTTGTTAAATGTTTTCTTGTACGTCAATACGTGTGCATACACTCACTAACGGATATATCGACAACAGCGACAGCCCGGTTGGACAATTAAAATCCTCGGTCAAAGGGACAGGTGCAAAACGAATTGCGTACATAAAAAGCCACCCGTAATGTGCGGCATGATATTATAATATATGTATTATATTATAATATTATTACACGCGATATAAAACATTTTCTTTGTTTCATTAATCGTTCCGGGTGCAATGCGCGTCATAATGTTATGTACGCGGAGCAAAGATAACACTCGTACAAGACGTCGGCCGCGAGTAGACGTTACGAATTTTCATTATTACGAGTTGCCTGCTGTTGCACACGTACCACACACGTCTGCGGACAACGCACACGACCTACTAATTATTAATGAACGCGAATTGTTTACTCGTCAACGGATTTACGGTGTACAATATAATAATAATTAATAATAATAGATAGACAATACAAACGCTTAAATATTAAATTATAATTTTTCCGTATTTTTTTTTTTTTCTACATAAAACACATTTATGATATAAAATTATAGGCCGAAATCGGATTTTATGTAGTGTTATATAATTATACCTACGAGGATATATTGCGCACAAATCTTATACGTATATTGGTATATTTACATTAAAATCATTTGGTAAGCAAAACATACGGGACTAGACGCTACACGCGAGTAGTAATACACTTTTCTCGCTAATAATCCATTCGGTAGTTGTTGTACATCGCGATGTTGTTCGTACACTCGTGCACACACACACACACACATATACTCAACAAAATTACATGCACTTTTAACCGCCGCTAATAACAGCTCGATAAAGTTTTGAACATTATTATTAATAACTATATTGGTAAGGCGACGAACGTATCGTCCCAAACGAAAAAACGAGATTTCCCGTTACGATTTACATCGTGTACGCGCTTGTCAGCGCGAACCACAATAATAGATTTAACGTCGAGTCTGCACGTACTAAAATTATTACGGTGCCTATTGATGCCACCGATAACGGCCGATGGCTCTTTGCGCACCATTGCAGTGTTAAGGTTATTTAGGCAATAAAAGTATATTATAAAAGAACACGCCTTTGAACGACAGGAATTCCTGATTGCGTTTAAAATAATCAATAGCTATTGATGGCAAAATAGCAGTATCGTGTTGATTTTAATCACGTACCGATCGTTTATTTATTATTTATATTGCTGAAATAGTTCTAAAGACGTTAGTATAATACATTAGTATAGTACTTTCCGTAAGAAAAAACGAAGGGTATCGATGCAATAGGTAAACAACATAGGTTTTACTATCGTCGTTTTAGCGAATGGATTTTAAAAGTATCTATGCCTATGACCAATTTATCGACATCTTTTCTTGCGATGAGAAAAAAATCAATGGTATATATAAATAGTTATGATTTCAAACTATAGTTTGGAATAAACGTTAGTTGAATAGTTAGAAATACTAAGCGATTATTCGTTGTACAGGTGAATCAAAACAATAAATCTATAAAACTGCATTTGTTGATATCGAGACGCAGTATGTATGTATGTTTCCGAAAGTAACGAGAAAAATAGCGGGAACAATGTTGGCTATGATTTTCATCCTTATCCGCGAATACTTGTATTATGTAATATTCCTAACCAGGTCGCTTAACGTGGTTCACGAGTAATACCATTACAGCACTATTCAATGTAAGAATCGCGAAGAAAAATCTCGAATTTTATTTCGACTTCCAATGATTATAATAATTATTATTGTAATAAAATCAGAATAGTGAAAACCGTCGTAACAGCAGTCTACGGCGAGTTTCGACCGCGGTGACTAAATGTATGATAGGTCAGTACTTCTCAAACTATCGGCTTTAAGTACATTGAAGGGGAGGCGTTAAATATTAGCATACATCAAATTAAGTATATCGTAGTAAAGAAGAATACAAGTTCCATACTGTTTTAACGATTTTGATTGTGAAAAGTTATTCAACTCGTATCTTATATATTATATAAATATTATACATCGAACTAAGGGGAGAGAGGTCATATTACAAAAAAAAAAAAAACACTGCAACGGGTTGTGTATCATTTGATGATGCTGATGAGTTTTTCTCATTTCGTTTTCTCAACGCATCGTGCGCCTCTTGCGCTAGTCGGGTACGGGATCCCTCCAGGGCGGGGCTCGTCAGACTTTTGAAAAGTTCAAAGTCTCGGATTTCCCGAGAACCAATCGTGCGGTATACGCCGTAATGCGTACGCGAGCGCACGTCTATCGAATAACTACATATGAAATACAACTCGCGTCGATTGGCTAACACAATCGGTACGGTTGGAAGAAAGATATTCGACAGCGACGCGAATAACCCCGTGATAGTAATTGCTATTGTTATATTATTTGACGACGTATACGTGATGCGGTTACGTTTCGGTTGAGGTGGCGGCCGCCGTGAAAGTTTGCCGCTGCGGTGACGGCGATGACGATTACGCTCGCGGCGATAACGGGTTGTGATCGCGCCGTCCTCTGGCGGCCACTAGCTGCTAGGGCCACCGTTGCCCGGGGCTGTCGCGGTGGCCGCGCATTGTTCGGGTACCGGGGCCGTGGTGCTGGTGATGTGACACTGTTGGGCCGGCGACCCGGGGTGCTGGCTCTCACGATGCCGGCGCAGGTCCACCTTGCGCTGGAACGCTTTGTCGCACAGGCCGCACGGGAACGGTTTGTAGCCCGAGTGCTTGCGCAGGTGCGTGATCAGATTGGACGATTGGCTGAACGCCTTGCAACACACCACGCATTTGTGCGGTTTCTCACCTGGGAACAGAAAAGAAAAAAAACCAACACGGTTAGTGGTTACGTGGTTTTTTTCATCGATAAGCACCACCCCTTAAACGCTCGCGCGCTTACAAACATACAGGGTGTCGATTATACGTGTTCTGCTGGATACATAATTAAAAAAAAAAAAAGCAATGCCTAAAGATTGCATTATTTTGTATTAATTTTTTTCTTAGCAAATATACAGACGATCAAGGATTAGTGTCGCATTGGGGTTTTTATTTTTTTAGTTTTTAATTTACACATAAAAAATTACATTGTTGTTATTGAACGTTGCATCGGTATATATCTTGTTTACGAAAAGTTCTCATCATCGACTTTATAACACATAGATTCCCGCCCGATAAAAATATTTTTCGTAAATTAAAAAAGTACTTTAGAAGTGCATGTAATCGAAAAGTTTAATTGTAAGCCTCTATAAAAAATATGAACACTCTATAGTCTTGAAATTTTATAAAAAATAGCAATGTTTAAAAATGTACCAATATGTTTATAAGTTTATTTATACCTTAATACGTTTGTACTAACACATGAGGTGACGCAATTAGTTAAGCCTAATAGGAAAATAATATTATATTTTATACCTAATATCAAAACACATGTATAACGCATCATAATAATAATATAATTTCATATAATATTTTACTCAATACGCACACCCTACATAAACACACCCTTCAAGGGAAAAAACCACCACGCCAGACGAGCCGCCATTTATATTGTACGTTACAATAATGTTACGTGTGTTTGATGAACACCGGGTGGTGGGCGAGGATTTTATATAAAACTCATAAACGTCGCGCAATTATACTATCTCTGAAATGTATTAGTTTTTGTTATTATTGTTTTTTTATTTTTTCATTTCATATGATTACTTTGTCTACACGAACATGGTAAAGGTTTTGTTGGAAATAAAAATATTCATTTCTGGCTTCGCTCAAAGTCTAATTTGAGAGTTTTATTATTTTTATTGTGTACAATTAACCCAGGTACACACGAGTGATGTCAAATATATTTTAAATATTTAATTCTTATTCAGTCATTTTTACTCATGTGAGTTATTTTATTTGTACTTGTACAAAATGTGTGTTTATAAAATGCAATTTCAATTATTAATTTTTTATAGTCATATTGTCAGTATCTTATCCCACGTATAAATTGTTAAAGTAATTTATTTTTCAACCTAATACAATTGTCGTTTTATCAAATCGTCGCAACGTATCGGTTGAAATTCATCATTAAACAACCTGTATTTATAATACACGCTTGCAGTACCTATGTGTTAATAATAAATAATCAAAGTGCTTCCTCCCTCCATACACTACAACCGATACGACTATTTCTCGCATACGAGGGATGCGCACGTATGCCACCCTCAGGTCGGAAGGAGTCCGCGGGACGTCTGCTGTTCTATTACTTCCATATAATATTCAAAGCGTATAGTTAACCCCGCTCGTTTTTATTAATTAATGTGCATCATGCAATCGTATTAGGACGCTCGTTAACAATAACCGACAGCGAAAGCTTTTGAAAAATTATTTTCCCTGCTTTTACCGAATAAGTACTTCATGCACTAACAACTTTTTTAAACAGGGAATCTCCGGAGCATTGCGGGGATAATCGCCATTCGCGTATAGAATTGCGTGGCACTAAATTTGCAAAAAATTAAAAATGGCTGGCCTGCGCATATCACTGAAATGCGTGTCGCCGGTGTGAGAATGATTGGCAAACGTAGAATATAATTCCATCTTACAATTGTTGATAATATAATCTCTACATATGGTCAAACTCCAAGTTTCCGTTTGTTCGTAAAAAGAAAACCCATACTATACAATAATTGTAAATTCGGCATGAACCTACACGTATTATAATAATAGTGATTTGACATCAGGATTTCGACAACATTACCTTACCACAATATAACGATATAATTTTAGATAATGTTCGAACGGCATCCGATACAATAAGAATTTTTAAAAAAAATACAATACTCCCGCGGTAATTTGATGAATTATGAGGTTTATCGAGAAACGGTTCCTGTGTTATAACTGCAAAAATATTGAGTCTCTAGGTACACTCGATACTACATGGGGATTAAGTACCCCGAGTCGGGTATAAATATATTATATACATGAATATCAGAACTATTGTGACTCAAAATGAATTACAGCCAGTTAGTATACAACAACATGATCAGTAATCGAAAGTACATAATAATAGAATAAAACGAACACAAGTGCCAAGGTAATATTTTACATCGTAGCCTAACAGTGTACGAATTTACTGAACGTAAATAAATATGAACGATTCTACGATATATTATTTTATAAACGGTCGCGTCGAAGGAAATGGATAAAAGGAATAAACGCTCTGACGCGTGTAAATGAAGAGTATAGAAGTTGGTAAAGAACGTGTATGGTATGACACATTGTTTAATTCGTAGAAGCGAAATCGTCCTTTATTTACGGAAATATAATATAATATAACCTCGCCGTCGCCAATTACAAGAAAATAACTGAAAACGCGAACGCGTACGTGTGCGAGTTTAAATCGAAGGGCACCCATTAACAGTCCATGTGTACACAAATTGTGTATAGAACCTTATAACGCTCGTCCTCCCTTTCCTTGCCGCGTCCGATGGCCGACCATCAACACGCGCGCTTCTTTTTTCTTTCTTTCTCTTTTTTTAACGAACATGAAAATCGTAAATAAATTATGCGGGAAAACTATATAATCACAATAGCGTGATCCACTCCGTTCTCCAGGTATAAAAAAAAAAAAAATTAAAAAAAAACATAAATATTCGATATCGACCCATAACCGTATTTCTCGATATTAAGAAAACAATAGAACCGCGATTTGTATACAGGAGCACTGCGCGTAATAACTGTTTTCACATTACACCACTGATTGACGTGAAACGATTAAAAGTAACTTCTGACGGCATTTTGCTTTGCTTTTTTTTTTTCTAAAAAAAATATCTTTTCAGCCCTTTAACCTTATACACCGACCAAATATCGTCCGAGTAAACTATAAAACCCAAGGAGAAACACCCGTGAATGGATAATGTGTATGTGTGTTTTTTTTTTTTTAGAAATTAACCTTTTATCCATGGCGCAAATATTATGCGAGACTGAAGGAATCGATAAACATAAATCATACTAAATATTGTACTGACCGGTATACCTGCACACATACTCAAACATACAAATATTATATTATATTTGTACCATGTAAACGGACTCGGGAAAAAGTCATCAATTTTCGGTTTTTTTTTTTTTTTTTTTGTCCCCCCATTCGAAGTTCATTATATAATTCAAACGGCACGCGTTTAACGATGGTAGGCAAGGGGAATAGAGTATAGAACACTGAAAACCAAAGGAAAAAAAAGTCGTACGGAAATTTGGTCTAGATATAGCGAACGGCGTCGGCGGCAGCAGTGTTGCGGCGATGGACGCGTGCTCAACCGTTTAAATAAATATTGACACGTTCAAAAATTATTATTTCGACTCGTTCCGGTGGCGTCGGCGTACACACACACACACACACACACACACACACACACACATTTACAAGTACGGTTCGCCAGTGTATAAGGGCTAGTGTATTATTTATAGGGTTGGTTAAGCGTACGATATAGTCAAGCGCGTAAATATAATAATATGTGTATTTCTTCCCCCGCGTGTGGCCAACCGAGTCGCACCGTCGCGCGCATAATACATACATATATAGGTATACGCACTATTTATATAGATACATAGTAATATATACATATAAACACACACGTGCGTGTAGGATCTCCGAACCGTTAAGTCACACGTATCCGTTTACCTAACCACGTTTTTTTTTTTTTATTTTGAAGACCTCTTTTTACCTTACCGCGTGCACGTCGAAAAACCCCTGAAGGGTAACGCGCCTCGTGCCGTTATTCAAACATAACATTATGTGTGTCGTGTGTGTGTACTTATATATATATTAGAATAGTGCATAAATGCGATTCGCGTTAATGGAAAAGTCAATCTACGACCTGACGTACTCCACACCTTCCCTACCTGTAACGGTGTAATTTCGTATATTGTGTGAATAATGAGACGGTTTTTATCACCCCTTTATCCTCGTTTCTTAATCATTATTTAGGCTCGTGGTAAAAAGTTTTAAACCCAAAAACGAATAATCAGTGGAAAAATTATATACGAAAGTGCATAGGCATACTATAGCAGTTCTCCAACAATTTGCTAATTAAACGGTGTAAACTTTTTAAAATCTCTTCCTTATCTAATTATTCACATTTTATATTTTTATGCGTACATATATAGTTTAAGTTGTTTTGTTTAGATTAGATTATTTCGTCGTTAACTAAAAACCGTACACCGACAAGAAAAGTACCTATTACGTCTCCATCACAGTTACGAGAGAGTTGATTGAGCTTGTAAGCATGTCATATAAGTGAACGTGTATTTGTTCCGTAATGATACATTATTTTTGTTTATTGTAAAATACGATACGGGTCGTTATTATCCAATATTGTACATTATTATTAAATAATATAATATACCTGATACACACTGTATGAACAGCAGTTCAAGTACAATATAATTAAGTTTTTAATATTATATAGATACACCGTCCGACTATTGATAAAATTGGTAGCACTTACGCCGATGCAGTTACTAGATGTAACTATTATCGCTTGCATTCAGCTTTCAACAATATAAACAACTATTAACATGGTTTTGAATTGTAAATTAAATTTTAATTAGTAAATATATAAACCAATCAATACTCAATAGTAAATAAAACGATATTAGAATGAAAGTACTTTTTTTTAAAATACCTTCATAATTTAGAGAAAAAAAAATTCTTAAAAGTGAATTAAACAGAAATGTATTCAAATTTAGATATAACAAAATCTTCAGCAGTTTAAAAAAAATATATATCTAGCCTTTTTTTCTTTTTTTATGAGGGCATCTGATCCACATGGGCCCTTAAAAAGTTCCCACAATGTCCTTGCGAATATTGGGCCCTGACTATACATGTGATCTGTCGTATTATATAAGATATATATGTTTATCGGTTATCGTCGTATTCGATTAAAATATGCGTCCACGAAAATGCACTGCACTCGATATAGTCACACTATACTACACGTATTCTATACGTCCTATAATACGGTGTACACGTATATTTATTAAAATATTTAATTATACGTCATATACTTACCGGTATGGATGTACGTGTGCTTCTTCATGTCGGATTTTTGGTGAAATCGTTTGCCACAAAACTGGCACGGGTACGGTCTCGTGTCCGAGTGGATCAGTAGATGCGTAGACAGAGTGGAAGACCTCTTGAAAGTTTTCCCGCACAGGTTGCACTATTAAAAAAAAAAAAATTTACAAATCGTGAATGGCGTACCACAAAGTTGTGCAATTATAATTATAGTTATAATACATTCAATAACTAAGAGTAACGTTCAAATTTTAAAATTTAATACGATTTGAATAGGTACTAAAAATTAAAAACTTTTTATTCGAAAAATATAGAAAAGAACAAATATTTTGTACGTAGAATCAATAATCCTCATAAATTTATACATAACATTTAATATATTTTTAGATTTTATTAAAATGAAAATGAATTATAGAAAATACACGATAATAAATTAATAACTTTTATAATACAATAATAGTAAATGCCTTCGATCGGAATCTTAGAATAAACAAAACAAGATTGTTATAGAACTTCATAAAAATATTTTAGTTCGAATTTACAATTTTACATTTTATACGTACAAATCGCAGTTTACAATGACAAAGTTATTTAATTTGTCTGCTTAAACGATGCAATTATGAATACAACGTCGCTAGGGAATCCTAACCGAATATTAAACAATTTTCCTTAACCGTGAGCAGGGCCGGCGTTAGGAGGAGGCGAAACAGGGCATTTGTCCAGGGCCTCGCACTTAAAATTTTAATTGAAAAATATTTTGTACGGAAATCTCATAAAATAAAACGTGAAATGTGCAGATCGCCTTTCTAGAGAAATCCGTTGGCGTGTAAAAAAAACCAATTAACAAACAGAACAACATTATTATATTTCATAAGTCATGTATACCAACGACGACACCCGTACGCCACGCTGCTCAGGGATACATAGGACATTTATTTTATCGCATTTCTTAAATTTAATCAATCATTACCCGATATTGCGTATATTACATGTTATCCACTATAGGTGACCATTGTTGTGGGTAAAATAAGTTTAGCCCAGGGCCTCGCAAAAGGTAACGCAGGCCCTGACCGTGAGCTTATAATAAGAAAAAAAAAGGCACAGTATAAATTAAAATTTTACTTAAATATATAAAACACGCTTTTTCCTGTGAACTTAAAAATTATAATTGTTATAGATATAAAAATGTAAAAGTCCTAACCCTAATTTTACAAGTATTAGTGAACCCACATAATATGGAATATACGATTGCGGGCGTTTTCGGACGTGTAAAACAACTATTCGGCTTCGATATATGAAGGTGGTTCTTACATATGCGTGATACGTCATACGTGTTTATGAATTATAACAAGTAGCAAGTTGAATTTACGATGGAAACAAATTTATACACGTCATATACGTACAATAAACCAAAAATATATCGTTGCAGCTGACCCGCGTACACAGAACGAAACATCGTTGCGCCCGCATGCAGTTGTCAATCGTCGCTGTTTTTATTGTTTCGACGGCGACGATAAACGTATTATTATTATTATTATTATTATTATCCTAAAAAGTCAATTTTCTGACGAATAAAAAATATAATTCAAGTGTTAACCGTGTAGCAATTGTTGGTAGGCGAAACAATACGATATAAATTTGATTATATAAGTATTTGAAATGTATGCATATTTTATTAACTCAAATAATAAATAGCAACACAACTCAATCACACTTGCTTATCATACGTAGCAAGAAAAATAATTATTATTCGTCGTGTGACTTCGTGAGATAAACCAAAGCAAGAAATAATTTATTTTACGAGAATTATTATTTCAGTTATAATTCTCGAAACTAACTCTGTGTTCCAGAACACAAAACAACATATCAAGTCGTAGTGACGTGAATTTATTGATTTATACTAGCATATCACTGTTAAGAAAAATTAATCGTCAATGTTTTAAAAATGCAATGAAATTATAATTGTTAAGGGTATTTGTTCAGGTTGAATAAACTTATTCACGTACTTAGCTAACGATTATCACTGAAAAAATAGAGCGAGTGGTTAGGGTAAAAAAAGTTGCATAAGAATCGTTGAATAGATACCATCTGTACAGAAAAAATGAATAAAAAATCATTCATGACAACATTAAAGGGACCAGAAAAAAATAGACGTCTTATACAATACGTGGTAGTTGTGTTATTTATTAACATACTATTAACCAATATTAATTTTCAACAAGGACTAACATACTAAAACTATACTGATTCCAAACTAGTGGCAGTGTTAAGAAATATTTATGCATATTGTAAATGTTTTTATAAAAAATATGATAAATACTTGAAAATAAAAATAGTATTATAAAAATAATACATGGTTAATATTATAAGTTTAATGATTACATTTAAAAGAATTAAAATGAAAAATTATTTACACGTTTTTAAATTATATTCATGCTCACAAGAATATATTAATTTAGGTACATCAAATTTATCTTATACTTATATACATGAAAATAATTGTATTTTACATAGATGTTCATTTAGTACAGTTGGTAGTTATTTTTGTCAGGATATTTTTTTGTTATTTCGTACTGCAGTATTCTACTACATCAGGACTGTAATAGAAGTTATTCATAGTAAATTTTCTTTAGTAATAGTCAGAATAAGATAGACTGAGAATAAGAGAGAAAGAGATTGACGCCACCGCGATTGACTCGAGCTGCAAGTGTCAACTATATTAATATGTATAACATGAATGACAAAATCGGCGTCACAACCATCTTCGCCGTATAGTGTTGTACATTTATGACCGACCTCAAGTCGTATAATATTGTCGTGTGCATGATCGTCTCGCATATATTATCATGGGTAGCGGTGTGGTTCACGAGGAGAACACGCGCTTGCGAAACACGATGACGGTGTAATGATATTATTACAGCCAAATGCATAATATTATATTTTAATATCGTGAGCGCGTTAAACATTTAAATCGTCGTCGCGCTATGGGAAATAAAAAACGATAACAATAATTAACGGTTCCGGGCTTTATCTCGTTCAACGCAAAGAAAAAAATAAAAATAAATTGCAATTTCGTTAATTAACTTGCGACCGCGTTATAGGAATATTGTCGCGACATCGCTGCTGGCAGTATATATACGCACGGCAGTAAAAAGTAATCTATTACGTTCTCGATTAATACGTATCGTAATAACTGTGTATGTACGCGATGAATTTTTGTTTAACGACCGTTCGGCGTCACACGTTTTCAACGTGACAAACGCGTTTACCTTGTTTTTTCGCGGTGCAGTAAGTATAATATAATGTCGTTTACAGCTTTTCGATAACAAAACATAAGTAAATTACGCACGGCCTGCGCATACTACTCGAATAATCGCGATATATAGACAATACTATACATAAAAAATTTTTAGGAAACGTGTCTAGTATAGCAGTGTCTCCGTTTTGTTGAAGGAGAGTATGTGTTCGAGCAGTCCTTAAAACAATCAACATGTGCCCTATATTTATATACAAAAATGTATGATATACATATAATGATTCCTCGAAAGTGTAAAAACCACAGGTAGATCAACTTCAATGACGACCAACTCGTAGATGTTTTTTTAGATTAAAAGGGGAAAAGGGGAATTCAATATGGTCCTCTTCTTAATGGTGCTACTAGTAGATATAATGTAGTAAAATAATTGATTCTACTTGATAAATTAAAGTAAGTTGGGTAAGCTATGTGACCAGCTCGTAACGGATATAAACAAATGTACAAACTAAGAATAAAATAACGGGATATTAACGAAAGCTATCGCACTATATGAATAATGTTCTATTTATTTATATTTTGTAAACATCAACTACGCCAAGTATACGATATTATAAACAAGAGCGGTTTCAGGGCTTATCAATGAGAAAGTGCTGCTTTGTACTATGTTCTCGATGCGTTTAATAAAGTTCAATTATTTTTAAATACAAAGATCAAAAGGTATACTGTAACCTGGAAGCGTTTTATGATTGACTTCGACTTCCACGAATAACGACGATTACACTGTGTGATTTTGACACTTTTGTTTCCGTGTTATAATTGAGGCGGGACGTTTCGTTTTCATAAATGTAAATTTCTTTTAATTGATCGCAACGAGACGCAAAAAAAAACCACACGTGGACTTCCTGTAGGTTTAATTTTTAATTCTTATATTATTTTAGGAACGCGCAGAGGCAACATTGAAATTTGGCCAAAAACATGATATAATACGTATATTATAACGGCGCAACGAGTAGTGTTTTTAATGCGCGTGAGAGATTCACACGGTCTTTAGCCAGCGAGTTATTTACTATAGTGACGCTCGGGTGTGTATTGATAATAATAACAGCACTATGATGTCACAAAATTAATAAGCCTCGGCGTTTGCCGGAAAAGGAAAAAACCACGTATGAAAACATTCATTTAAATCGCGCTACCCGAATACTCTTGTTGCGCCACTGACCGTCGGAAATAATAAGAGTAAGCATTATGGTGGTAACTTTTTCGCGAACATCGAATGTAATGGGTATACGTATACCGACACCGTTGAAAGAGTTTGATGTGAAATGATCTTACAGTACTATGTGTGCTTGTGAGCGTGTGTGAAGAGTGATAGTAATATTATAATATTATGTAAAAACATCAACATAGAAATATTCAGAGTGCATTGTATTATTTGTGCATATATATCATATTATAATTTATAAAAAAAAATGCCAGTGATAACACTTAAATTTTTTTCATAGGTACCTGAAAAGACCTTTCTACTCCCAACACATTGTCGGAAAAGGTTTTCGGAACTATGGGCGACACGGGTGACTTTTCTTTTTCGCACAAACTTCCCGGTGACCAAATTTCTTGACTTCGTTTTTTGATGCACAAGTTCAACGGCGATTCAGAAACTTCATCTGAAATATTTGCATCTGGTGTTCATATATTTATAGGTTGTAGGTATAAACAAATAATATTTTTTTGTCACAGTGGCATTTCAACAGTTATACAGGAAGACTGGACTGTTGCAAGCGTTAAATAAAAACTACATTCAGACCATCTCGCGGTAGACTTTTCGAAAATATCACGCGCTTAGGTGGCTAAAACTCGAAATTCTCGCAAGTCGCAATTAGCACGTATTTATGCATTAAAATTAATTTTAAAACATTTGCACTCAACGCACACAGTAACATTATGATTATTAATATAATATTTTGTTTCCAACAAGTGTATGGATAAAAATTTAACAGTTTTGTTTACTATAATCGTAAAACCTAGATTATGTATACAATGTGTAACATAAATTGGTGGTAAAAATAATAAAATACATTATTGAAAAAGTTTATCAAAAAATCAGAAATAATAACATAGGTACCAAATGGAAACTAAAAAACTTATTTAAGTGTATTTGTAATATAAAACGTTGAATATTCGACAGTAAATTCGTATATTTTTTTTAACTTAACACATCGGGCAATCAAATAATGTGAAAAAATGAATTATTATAGTAACATTTTAGAAAATTAATAAATATTATAATTATTTTACTTGTAGTTACAAGTAAAATTTAGTATGCATTACATTATTACACCTAAAGATATTCTATTATTTTTTTACGTGGAATTATTACTCAGTTAATTTTTTTATCCTTCGATTTTCACTGATTTTAGAACAATCAATATTGTACACATTAAAGAACAATACTTTAAAAGCTATCGGAGACGGTTCTGTATTATAATAAATATATATATTATAAAATATATTTTAGTTTTTCGTTTAATCACAAAGTTTGATCTACCATATCTGAACACTAACTCTTTGACAAGAAAAATCAGGAAAAAAAATCCGTGAAAAAAACCTAATAAATGCGTATGTATGGATTAAAATCTTTAACTTGCATTGATCTGTAAATGGATGATGTAAGTACTACGATCGTCTTAAACACATGATATTTGTTATTCCTACACTATTATTTTGAATAGTAATTGATAAGACCGCAACGTGAACGTCGGTGTTGAAAAAATGTAAGTTAATATATAGGACCGGTAGAAAGAAAACCGCATAAAAATCAAATGAAAAATAATATAGAACTTTTAAATTAAACATAATAATAATCTTTGAGTTGTGGAAATGCGATTTGAAATATAAAAAAAAAATAATAATAATAATTTAAAAAACCATAATGCTTTAGCCGGTTCACACATATCAATAACTGGTCAAAATATAGAAGTCTTGCACCAGGTACAGATAATATAACATAGTCTCGTTTCATAGTAAACGCTAAATCGGGACTAACAAACTTAAAAAGTAGTTTTAAGAAAGAAAAAAAAAGTAGTTTAATAAATTATAATAATGTAATTATAACATCAAACACATCATACTGTATACCGACAAGGTGATATGAATTAATAATGATTAACAGTATGTCGACGTGTCATTCAGCAATTTATACTATATGAATATTATAAATAAAGTGTTAGAAATAACAGGCTAATGCAAACTATAAGAAGAATCTCTAATCTAAAAATCACTAAGTAAGTGGAACTGAAAACCGTTTTGCAAATTTGAAACTTATGTATTAAATTGATAATAATTTATTATTTTTATACGCCTTTTGTATATATTTTTACGGATATTATCTCATTTTATTTTAAATTTATTGCTAAACCAACTACAAAACAGGGTTCTATACCTATGAATAACTTTGTTTTGGTGTTTTACACATGATTTTTGGAATTTTGACGATTTTTAGATACGAAATATCAACAATTGTAGTACAGTTGGTTTAATTAATTATTAAGTTTATTAAAAATTGAATTGAACAAATTTCAATTTGCGTAACGCAGAACAACCTCAAATGACGCCACTTTCAAAGTTTATACAGATCGCGTTCTCCAACACCCTGCAAATATACCTATCAGGAACGATCTGATATAGAGTTTAGTGAAAGATAATAAATTTCAGATTTAACTATAATAATCATAACAAATCATTATCTTATAGTCAGTATTGAAAAAACCCATATTATTTAATGGTATATTTATCCATCGAAACCTTCTGTTTCGATTACGACCCTGATATCCATATGTATACGAGTATATATTAAATATATACAAAAAAAAAATCGAATTAACTCACCGGACTTTGCTTTTTCGGGCGTTTTCGGGTCCGTTTCGTAGGCCGTATGAGGAAAATTCATGTTTTCCGTGTGCCGCTGTATAATATTACACGTCCGCACGGACAATTCTAACGTACGGAAATCGTTCGAACGGCGCACCATATAGACTCCCTGCCCCGAGGCCGTGTCCACGCCGGCCCGGTCAGGAGAGAACTGTTGGTGCAACCGTTGCTGTTGTAAATGTTGCTGCTGCTGCTGCTGATGCTGTTGCTGTTGCTGCTGCTGCAGATGGTGATGTTGTTGGTTAGTGGCATGGTTGGTATGGTGGCCACCGCCGAGCGCGTGTCCACCTGCACCGTTGGCCGCGGCCGCGCAACTAGCGGCGGCGGCCAACGGAGAGTAGGGCAACATGAGCGGCCACAGGTAAGGCGACATGAACCCGTACGGCATTTGCAGCTGTCCAGCCGTGGCCATGGCGGGAAACGGCATCTCGGCAGCCGGCGTGTCGGCCGCGGCCGCGGCCGCAGCGGCCGACCGGACCGGACAAAACGCACTGTTCCGGTGCGACCACCGCACGCTAGTGCCAACGGTGGGCGACATGGACGCGACACTGCCCGGACCCTGCGGTGACGGCGAGGCGCTACTGCTCGACGAACGCGCCAGCTTCATGGACCGCTGTAATGTACGGCGCGACTGTACGCGTGCGGTGTCACGCTGCAGCCGATGTCGCTGTTGCGCCGTTGTCGATGCCGTTGTCGGTCACCGATCACTACTATCATCTGGAATAAAAACCGGTAAGAACTGTTAGACGCGAGGGTGTTATTATTTATTTCTTTTCTACTACGCTTCCAATTCATTTTCTGCAACGGGATTGAAAAATTGTTCACTAAATTAATGCTTCCGCGTGTATACATGTAGGATAATAAATACCGATTACAACGGTCTTAATGTTTTTATAATTTATATGATTTTAATTCGCAATCATTCTATTTTATACCTCGGACTCACTAATCAAGTCAAAATATCTAAGTATCTAATTCGTGATCGATTTTTATTTGTTTGATAATAATATAACTTTTTGTAGTAAATTACATGTTTGCAGTATTACAATTTACACTAATTTCAGTTACAATTATAGTTATGGTTTAAACTAATGCCCAATTTAAATTCTGTCACAAGTGCATATATAAGTATATGTGTATGAGAAATATTTTAAAAGATTTAGAAATTTAAATAATATTTATCATAATTTATGGTTTCATTGACAATTATAAATTAGTTAAAACTATAATCGAGCATAAATTCACTAAAACTTAAGTCATTAAGGTTGATTTAAAAAGTAAAAGAATTTTCAATTTTTGGTGTATTGAGACAATCGATATTAATCGAATCGAATCGTAAACGACTCAATAAAAAAAAATCCAAAAGATTTGATCACTATACATTGTAATTATATTATAGGATAGTATTTTACATAATAAATAAATTATAACTAGATGCTATGAATCATTAAAGATTTGAATGTATAGAGAAATGTAAATGAATTTTTATAAAATTATAAACCAAAAATCATATGCTTATATCAAATGATTTTAAAATACGTTCATTTATTTAAATGTAATATTAAATAAAACCATTGAAAAGACTTATAGTTTTATTGCTTAAGTACTTATCCTCAAATTTGCTGTTAATTAAAAAAAAAATATATATGCTGGTACATACTAAAATAGATCGACATAATTAACATGTACTTAATGGAACAAAAATCTCCTCTATCATGTAGAACTTGTACAACACATATATATATGATCAAATACTTGCAGTTAGACATGCAAGTCAACATTCTTCACAATCGTAAAATCATGAATTTTTTAAAATAAACTTTTACAATAAAATGTAATATTATACTCGAATAATACTTACATAAAAAAAAGGTAATAATACTTTGAAATACACAAAATGTAATTCTGGTTGCTGTCAAAGTTTAATAAACCAATAAGAAAAAAAATAATTAAATTAAAGCCTGCAATCAATATACGAAAACCAAATAGATAAATCTACATTTGTATTACTATTAACCTATCAAGTATAAATGAAATTATTTAAAATGCTTATACTGAAACAGGTCCTATATTAAATAAGTTTATTCTAAATAGTAGGTTATAGTAAGTTATAAGTCATTTAGGATTTATCTAGGAAATTATAAAAATGTCCGTGCTTTTAATAGCTCGTGTATTTACAATAAAATAAAGTCACAAATTTAATATGTTTAAATATTACTGTAAATTTTGTTTTATTTTTTTTTACAAAAATATGAAACACAAAGCTGTATAACAATATACAAATATTTTTTTTTAAGGAGCGATACAATTGAATTATACATACGATGTGTAGAAGAGACGTGTATCGTGACGCATAACTTTAACCAATTAAGCAAACAATTTTTTCCTTATACATTTTTAAGTTAACAAGAAATGCATGAAATGTTCACTTGCATTACACTTGGAAATCATTTGTGCATATAAAGTATGTATACTCAATATAGCGTGTGCTCTATGTAACAATAATACCAGCAGTATAACAGCAACAGCTCTTTAAATATTAACTAATTGCCTTGTGGCGTGACATCACAATCCTAAAGTAATTTAGGCCAATGGGTTTCATCGATTTTTTAATTATTACATCGCGACGGATCATTTACGTGAATTATTTACTTGAACCTGAATTAGTAATACATAAACATGAATAGAAAATGTGTCTATAGGTTTATACAAGTTGATTTTAAAGTAAAAATGAATCGAAAATAAAACGTTAAAAATTAACAAATTATCTATGAAAACAGGTATTTGATTCGGATCTGGTACGGATCTGTAGGATAAGTGTCTACAATAATACTATATATTATGTTTATATATATATATATATATAAATATACATTACATATTCCTAATATATTAATAACAGCAATATATTAATAGGTAGGTACTGGGACGGATTGGCCTACCGGGAAATCGGGAATCTTCCCGATGGGCCGGTCCTTGTTTGGGGCACTCTAGATTATTATATAATTACCAAAAAAAAGTTTTATTTTGTAAAATAAATAAAAATCATTAAAAAAATAAATATATATTCAAAAATGCATTAAGATCAAACTTCAATTCAAGTTTTAACTGATTAATAATGTGACTTACCTAAAACTATTATAGCTATAATTATAGTAAAGTTATTGTAGATTTTACTAATTTAGGGGTGAAACTAAACAAATTTTGAAATTAATACATAATAAAGCATTTTTTTTTTTTTTTGAGATGGGAGAGGGATAAAATAGTTTGATTTGGGGTTCATGGGCAGGTTTATTTCATATTTCCTGGGCCGAAAATAATTGCTAATCCGCCACTGGGTAGGTATACTCTTATATACGCAAATACATATAAATTATGTAAGTCACAATAATGGACAATATCTTATTAACTGGTGGTCTGGGCTACATTGTAGTCTGAAGGTACCAACATTATATTTTAGTATTATTAACGCATAAATATATAAGACTCGATCTAACTGTCCAAAAATAATATTTAAATCAGGTTAGAGAGTCTCACGAATAAATCGCATGGAACCGAATTGCTGTAGAATATACCAAAAACCGAATGTATAATAACAATGTAAATATTAAGATAGTGTTTGTAACTGGTTCTATGTAATAATGATTTTAAGTAAGTGTAAGTAAATAGCATTATCACAATTAAGATATAGATAATTTTAAGTGTTAAATAATTTATATAAATAACAATATCAAGAAAAATAAACTATAAGGTAAAAAATCCTGTGAATTCTTTAATTTAAATATGTATTTTAAATCATCATGAATTCGTGAGAGTACATATATAAAGTCCAAAGTTGTTAAAAATTCAATATTTGATAGTTATTTTAAATTAATTATTTATGTATATCTACAATTGTATAGAGTTATTAGGTATATTAATGTACACAAAGAACATTTTTTTTAGGAAAATAATAATAAAAAATAATTGAATTATGAATTCGCATGTTTTAATATATTATAATTTTTTATTTTTTTTTATTAATATTTTACAACCCACGGCTGCTAGTGTTTTATATTAATTATCATCATAATTTGTTTAAAATAAAGCTATAAATAATTCTCAATATAAAAAAAAAATCATCCTTTAAATTATTAATACGTATACTTATTCAAAAATATAAAAAAATATAAATACTAAGTATGAATTCATAATTTTAAAATATTTCAGATTTCTTTTTTAGATGATGGCACTGCAGTATATGTATACATACATACTTGTACGTATTATCATTTAAATAGGTTCATTATTTATCCTTTTTACCCTTTAATTCAACAACATATATTGTTAACAAAACATAACGCAACTATATTATAATAATAAATAAAGTTGTTATCATTGGCGCACCACGTAGGTACATCCTTAATATTTTTACGAGGAAAAATAACCAGATTGATATCTAAAATCTGATTTCTCATAAATCAACAGTATAATAGTTTAAACTTGATTGTTTATTTAACGTCATTGAAACCTATGCATTTTGTTTAAATTATGTCTGTTTATTCAAATTAAACAGTTATCTAGCATAAATTATCCTTTTTTTATTCATTCATATTAAAACTGCTGTATATATTTTTTATACGAATATCAAATAATCAACAAAAAAGATATAGGTATAAGGTATTGTAATATGTACTGAAATACCTATATAAGATATATATATATATAACTATATAATTATTTAAAAGTACCAAATCTATAGTTTCTAATTTAAAACGTAAATATTACCTTATATAAATATAAACTAATACATAAATATACATATGCGAGCATGCGAGTTGACGCATATTATTTATTGCATTTTTTTCGGTAATATTATATGTAAATAATTTCTGGTGTTCAAAATAATCCATACATTTTGTTTTATAATAAATAATATTTATAAAATATGTAGATACGTACGATTCAATATATAAATATAACAACAAAATTATGAATATAAGAATAAATTGCTTAAAAATCGATCTGACAACAGTTAAGTGTGAATAGTAAATTTAATTTTAAATATAGAACGTAGATGCATATATAATATTTAGGATTATTTAATACATTTATAACTAAGCACTTACATATAGATATAATAATTAAGTGGTTGAATGAAAAAACTTTTGCACAGAATTACAATAATTTTCAAATCCATGAACCTGTTCGGAAGAAAAATATTCGATTCCCCCACGAAAATACAAAGCTACATGAAAAAAGATATCTGATTTTTACTGATTATGGTTAAATACATAAGAATCGATGTAAAATAGATTCTGCAAATAATCGAACTGGATTTGTATCCGAAAAAAATTATAGGTAAATAGGTGTACACATCGGTGATATCCACATAAATACACACATAATGTAATGTTACAGGATTGAACTTTTCATGCAGTACCTACGTTAAAGCATGAGAGCGTAGATGAAGTTCTCGGATCTCCATAAATATGAACGGTTTTTTAAAAAAATAAATAAATATATTCGATTCGTAAGTGCTACCAACGTCCTGAGAACGGAACTGGTGGGGAGGGGAGGATCTCACGATGTATGCGCAAAATGACGTAAAAACTAGATGAAAGTATTTAACTTACACGAATGGACCGGTTGCTTTTGAGCGGTCTCCGCGGTCTCCGTCTTGTCCTTCCGGCTGGTGCAGAGTTCCCCGTAACCGTGTCGCCGTTCAACGCGCGGCGAAAAGTGCGCAGGACTCGCGAGCTCCGTCCGGCTTCGGGCCTATTTTACTCTTCTCGGACGCGCCGCGTGACGTATACGTTCGACCGTGTGCGGGGCGAGGACGCGGAAGTACGTTTCGACGACGGCGTCGGGTTGAATACTGACGCGCCATCCGCGTGCCGGCCCGACGGTCCGATACCGAGCCGACCGTCGTGACCGGCCCCGCCCACCGGCCCCGTGATTGGTCCGCGGCGATCGGCGCGCGTCGGATTTCGTGCTTTTCCCACCGCCGCCGTACTCGAAAAACCGATTTTCGCTGTCCGCGAGTTCCCGCTCGCACAGATACCGCAACGCTTTTGTTATTAGGGCCGTATCGTATCTTTTTAACGGATCAAAACCCGCGACAGGCATAGTAATCATAAACGTTCGTTTCCATTCCGATCAAAGCAATCCGTGTATTTCTACAAACGGTTTCAGACAATTCCGCGCGAGTACCAACTATATTGACTTAGCACTTTTTATGTACGCACCCGTAACATCTGTTGATGTTCAACAGTCGCTCTCAACTCAAAACTCTAATGTCAAATGAAATCGTAGATCATTTAAATTACGGACTCGTAATATATTACGCAGTCACGAAAAATAATAACAAGACAAACAATTTAATTCGTAAAACAATATCATTCGTAAATAGTATAGTTTACTACGGTAAATTGCTAATTTATATTTAATGTAACCTTAAAAAAACTTTTTACCGATTTAAAAAAATGCTCGCTCATATTTGACACTTATAATTACACGAAAACCTTAGCTTACTTATTTATAAATTAAAACCATCAGGTGATATTTGAATATTGGTACATCAAGCCGACTACGATAAGAAATAATTGTATGCAAATCCATATCGCCCGCATAACTATCTATATGCTCGTAACACGTCAAAATTATAATCGTTACCATCCGTAGATTGTAGCTTATACGACTTATTGACAATGCCCAATGGGTCTATAACAATCGTGTCTTAAATAAAATACGAGTACAAAGTGTGCAGTGTGTATTGTCTGTGCGTGTACCAATAAAATAACTTGTATTCGTGTATTACCTCTTCGTTCATCATTATTATTATTATTATCACAATATTTTTGGTTCTAAACAAAACAATGTGCTATATATGGTTCGATAACAATATATAATTGTTGTTTTTTTTTGTAATTACACTAAAGATGTGGTTAGTAAATCTATATTTAAAGTATCGTCAACAATATTTCGACAAGGGTATGGTATTTTGGAACAATAATTTTACAATTTTTTCAGTAGATATTATTTGATTCTAAAAAAAAAAAAAAAAACAACCAACCAGAAAAGAATCTAACAAATGGTCTTACATTTATTCATATTGGAAATGCATATTTTTAACTTTACAAATGTTTAAAGTTTGGAATAATATGTTATATGTTATTAATAAATGGTTAATTTTAATTATGAACATGAACTCTTTCATCTAATAATCATATACAATTTATATAGATGCTCAGAGGTATTTGTTAAACATAATTATTATGTTGATTAGATACAGCTTATCATATTTAACATCATATAATGATTTTAATTTAATTTACTTTGAAAACAATAATTAAATTGTTGATAATATTATAAAGTCGAGGGTGTGCATTTCGAAATCGTTGTCATTTTAGGCACTGGTAATATCCATTTGTTATGTATATATACATACATACATACCATGCAACGACAGACATGAGCGGACTGGCAAAGTGACCAGCTGCATCGGTACGACTTGAAAATGTAACAAACATAATATTAAATATGAAAGAGGGAATGATGTAGTATACAAATATAAAATATCTAAGAAATTCAAAGTTCAATATGTTAAAATAAGTAATATCTATAACATTTCCGTTTAAAAAATATATTTATATTCTCAGTCAATTGTTTATTATTATTTTAGTTTTTAAACATATATTGTATAATAAATAGTGGTGGGCAACGATATCGATAATTCGATACGATATCGATATCGTGACACATTTTCGACACCGATATCGTTCTATAATTGGATGATATATCGCGATATCGAAAATAATGTTTTTCAAGAAAAATACATGGTATTTAGTAAATACTATTTACTATTTGTAGGTTTAAAACTATAATAAATAATAATAGCTGTCAGCTGATAACGTTTGGTGCTCGTATTCCGGTGAAATGTCAATTATTGTACACTAATAATAATCCATTATAATGTTATCTAAAAAGGAATATTTTGCTGACTTTTAAGAGGAATACGGTATAGCTATTAGCTAGTGTTGGGCAACGATATAATTTTGTGTATAGATATCGTTAAGATTTTTCCGTAATACACAGTGTAATTTGTGTCGTCGGTGCGAACATTTTTCGAACATTTCTGACATTTATCGTACAGTGACAATTATTTTATTGTGATATAGAACAGTATTATTTATTAATTTCAAATAATTATTACAACATTATTTTTAGTGATGAGTGAACTGAAATTGATGCCTCTACCTGGGGCTAGGAGTGAAATTTGGAAAACATTTGGTTTTAAAATAAATGATAGTGGTATTATAATAGATAAAAAAAAGTATTCTGTCGAACATGTAAGAGTTCAATTGCTTATAGTGGAAATACATCAAATTTAAATTCACATTTACAACAGTGTTTAAGTGTGAAACCAAAAAATAACACTAGCAGTATTGCGACATATTTCAAAGGACCAACAGCGAAATTACCTCTGAACAGTAAAAGAAACAAGGAACTTACAAAGGGTTTAATTAAGTTTATCGTTAAAGATCTAAGGCCCTTGAGTTTAGTAGAAGGAGAAGGCTTTCGTGAATTTTTGGATTTAGGTATTCCCGAATACAATGCACCTAGTAGACGAACAATATCACGGTTAATTGATCATGCAGCACTTTTGGAAAGGGATAATTTTAAGAAGTATTTATCAAATATTTCTTATATTAGTTTGACCATCGATTTTTGGACTTCCGATTCAAATAACAGTTATTTAGGTGTAACTTGTCATTTTATTGACAGCTGGACCTTACATTCACGAGTTTTGGAAGTCATCGAAGTACTTGAATCACACACTTCTATAAATATAGTAAGCAATTTAAAATCCGTTCTTAAGACCTGGGATATTGAAAATAAAGTAGTGGCTTTTGTTTGTGATAATGCTGCGAATATGGTTAAAGCGATTAATGATATGGATAAATTTAATCTGGTAAGGTGCACAGCTCATTCAATTCAACTATCTGTAAATGCTGGTCTTAAAAATGATGTTACCAAGGAATTGATTAATAAGTTAAGAAAGATAGTTGGATACTTTAATAGAAGTTCGTCAGCTCAAAGTGAATTAGAAAAGGAACAAGTTAAATATGGAGAACCACAAAATAAATTAGTGCAAGATTGTGTCACAAGATGGAACTCTACATGCAATAATAAAACATAGATACTCAATCAATTCCGTCATATCTAAAAATAAGAAAACTGACGAATGGTTCATTACATCAGCAGAAGTACAAAATTTAAAAGATTTGGTTAAAGTTTTAGAGCCTTTTAAGTCTGTAACTAATACACTCGGCGGAGACAAATACGTAACGGCTTCCGTAGCAAACCGTTTGATTAAAAGTTTTCTTAATACAGTTCAAACGTGTGAAACCGATTCTAACTTTATAAAGACAGTTAAATTGAGTATACTACAAGACTTGAAAATTAGACGAGAAATGATGAGCCCAGTTTTATCTAAAGCAGCTGCGTTAGATCCTAGATTTCACGAACTAAAATTCATATCCGATGAGCAAAAAACTTTGATTTGGGAAGAACTTGAAACTGAAATTTGTGAAATGAATCCCCAGAGCCAGGAAATTATAAATGATCAAAATAAAGCAAATGAAATAGAAAATGTTATTAGCTCGGATGAAGATAATCCACCTCCCAAAAAAATGCGTTCATTAATGGCTGATAGCGATGATGAAGACGAATTTTCGATTGGTTTTGAAACTCCGATGACAGCATCAAGGCAACTACAAAACTACAAGAATATGACTACAAAATGTCATCGAGATGAAGATCCACTTAAATGGTGGAAAGAAAATTCAAATTTATATCCAGAAGTCTCAAAATTAGCAAAAAAATACTTGTCGATAGTCGCGACTAGTGTCCCATGTGAACGTCTGTTTAGTGAGGCTGGCAATATAACTTCAAAGAAAAGAAGTAGTCTATCTCCAGACCGAGTTAACAATCTTCTCTTGTTGAACTCTTATTATAAATCCACTAAGACATCAGACCACACTTTGGTAAGAACATACATTTAAATTTTTTAAATTTAAATTCAAGATAATATTAAATTATTAAAATAATTATGAATTTATTTTCTAGGATGCAGCTATCGGGTTTGAACTTTGAACACATTTAAGGAAAAGTTATTTAATTGTTAGTATGTAACTAGTAATTAACTAGGTAAAACAAATGTTTAATAAATAGTTTATTATAAATAATTAATAAATAATAAGTATGTAATGTTAAATGTGTACGATGTTGGTGTACCAATAATAAATATTAATTAGCTTAATAAAGTAAATTCCTTAGTGTGATATAAATTTAGTTAAATGATTAAATTAATACAAAAAAAATTTTTTTAATTGTTTAGGACGTTTAGGTAAACATAAAATTATATTTACGATACGATATCGATATCGTAGAAATAACGATATCGCGACACAATATCGAAAAAATCTGAACGATATCGATACAAAAAATTATATCGTTGCCCACCACTAATAATAAAATTAAGAAATATCATATAGGTATAGTTGTTATGTTCATATAATGCGGATACGTCTTCTCAACACTCTAAATAAATATTATTGATATAAAAAAAATATTTACATACATACTGAATATTATGTTCTGTATATTTAAAATAAAATAATTTAAATTCTAAAAAAAATTCAATTTAATTAATTAAAATTTGTTCGCAGTATTTCAATTAAATTTTTAAAAATTAGATAAATTTGGATGAATATAATATTTGTTATTCATACCTATGATTATATTTTTTTAGTATTTTTATTACTACACAAAAATACAATGTAAATAACTGCGTATATAAAGATAAATTATGTATGTATAATTTATTGTAATTGTAACTTATACCTACATATATGTAAATTATGTATATTATTCGGTAAATATGTTAGAATTATAAAAGTAAAATTTATGAAGTATAAACATATTATTAAATAAATAAATAAATAACAAGTGTTATATTTTATATTCACGTACACCTGATTATCATACCATTGTAAATGTAATAAAAATATTAAATATGTAACATTTGTTTTTGTTTAAAAATTTAACTATAAATTAATTTTAAAATGTATAGATATATACAATATACTGTTTAATCAATGGTAACAACCACATGATTATTATCAGTATTTTATTTTAATCGAAACAATTGGTGAAACCATTTTTTTTAGTACCTATACTTCATTGCTTTTTCCTATACAATATACATATGTAATGTATAATTAAACCTGTACATTAATTCTTATACTCTGTTTGAATATGATATTGAATATTTCCTATATTTGTTTAAGCTATACCGTTGCATTTAAATATCTCGAAACATTAAAAATATAAAGTTTATAACATATTTTATATTGACAACCAAAATAAATATTTATGAGACAATATAATTTATACTCGTAATGTATTGTTAACACAAGTGTATATTTTTTAATAATCGTGACCAAAGAACGTTCTCTGTGAAATATTATTCTAAATATAGTTCATTATCAAACACACAGTACCTATTTTCATATTTATTCAAATGTAATATACAATACGACTTGAAAAATATATTTTTCTGTATACTGAATGCAGGGGTACAATGTAGTTCAGAATAACA